AAAATGTGATGTTTGTTTTTTTGTCTGTCTTTTTAAAAATGCGTGCAAATTTGTCGATTTGTCGCACCCTGTATCCTATTAATTTTTTAATAAAATTTTAAACTTGCACCACAAAATTTTATTAAATTTCATGGCACTTTTAAACAGCCTAAGTTACTTACCTTTTTCAACATCAATTTCAAATAAAATAAATAAAAAACTTGAGGGGAGGAAGGACCCTTTCCCTCACAATGGATTCGCCCTTGTATTAGCCTAATTATTCAGTAAGGATATATTTAATTTTAGGTAAGGAATGATAAAGATTATTAGAGCTGTTTTACTTTTGCTTACAATTAAGTTAACATTAATAAATATTTTCATTTTTTTTTCTTCTGGTTTTTCCTTTATTTATTTTATTATTCATTTAATGTTTTATTTTTTTTAGATTAACTTTTGTATTAAATATTATTATAAGGATTTTATTATCTTTCCAGTTTATGGATTGTTTATTTTAATTTTAATTTGCTTTGTTTTTTTAGCACATTTTTTAAAAAAATTTTAATTAGCGATAATTATCAAAACTTGCAATGAGCCGTGGTCAAGTTGTTAAACAAAGAACTTTATGCGTGGTCATATAAGGCCTGCGATCGCACACCTCTTACGAGAAGGCCTGTTGTTCGTAGATTTGGCGGGTTTTTTGTGTTTGCAAATATTCATTTTTTATTTTTCCGCACTAAGATGTTTGAGAACATTCACATTTATGTATGCTTCCATGTAAGTTCGTAAAACAAAATATTGTAAAATTTATGATAAAATGAACTTATTATTTTGCGGACAAACAAGGAAACATACAAAAACTTAAATGTTTTCAAAATGACTAAAAAATCTGGCCGGGTTTTTGCAACTAAATGTTATTTCCGTGGTCAGTTATTGAATGCAATCGCACCCGCTTTCCGACCAAGCCTGTATGACCAGTATAATATGAGTTATATTAAGTCTATTCCATACCAGACCCCCTCTATACTAATTTAACCCTTTATATAATAATTTTTTGTAAGTGGTAGAAAATAAAAATCTGTCAAACCTTTGTTTTGATTTAACAATTAATGTTTAATACTTCTTATTGAAAAATTTTAAACTTCTATAAAAAAACAAAAACAGGTGCAGACTTTTTTTTCTTTACTAAGTTAAGTATTAAGTATATTAAGTAAAGAAATATATACCTTTTCCCATTCTTAGAATTTGGAAATAACTGATAACACATTTGAAAAATTTATAAAAATTCATTAAGGCAGTCTTTTATGTTTTAAATAAATGCGGTATTGAGTTGTTTTTTCTACTTTTTTTTATATTTACTTTTTATAATTTGTTTCTATTTTAACTCTTTAAATATAATAACTATAAACAGTTTTTGTTAGTTTTTTATTATTACTTTATTCAAAAAATAACATAAAGTAAAAAATAAACACAAATAACTATAAACAGTTTTTGTTAGTTTTTTTTTGTTACTTTATTCAAAGAATAACGTAAAGTAAACAATAAACACAAATAACTATAAACAGTTTTTGTTAGCTTTTTATTGTTACTTTATTCAAAAAATAACGTAAAGTAAAAAATAAATACAAATAGATCAAGATGTTCAGAAGCATCATGAGAATATCTTTATTTATACAGGAATGCAGTGATTTAAGTAAAATGATTTTTTACATACTTTAAAAAAGAAATTTGTTTTTGTAGTTGCAGAGATGCAGTAAGTTAAATTTAATACAATTGTGAATGAAAGTCCCCTAATAGAAATACTCCTGAATTTTGGTCCAGTTTTAAAGTTAACACTCCCTTAAAAAGTAAATAAAATTATTTAAAAAGTAACTGAAATGAACTTGTTTATAAAACAAATAAATTGAAATTTTTTTTAATTTATTGGGTACTAACACAAAAACATGGTTAGAAATTCAAAAAATTATTACCCTTTTTTTTTTATCTTCAAGATCTTTGTTAATTGGTAAGATCATATATTTTATTAAAAAATGGATTAAATCATACAAAAGGATAAAAAAATGTACAGCTATATTGTAATGAACAATAAAATGTAAATGATAGTTGCAAATTGAATATAATACAGAGCTATGAAATAGAGAATTTAGTGATATATAAATATATGATATAACTATACGATAATAACTACAATTTTTCAATAAACATTTCACAAAATTTTTCAACATATTTTAGTGTGTCTGTTCAACATATTGTTTTTCTGTTGAAATATGGTTTTAATTCAGTAAACTTTTAACAGTTTTTATTTACTTTATTAGGTAACAGTTTTTATTTATTTTATTAGGTAACAGTTTTTATTTATTTTATTAGGTAACAGTTTTTATTTATTTTATTATGTAACAGATTTTATTTACTTTATTAGGTAACAGTTTTTATTTACTTTATTAGGTAACAGTTTTTATTTACTTTATTAGGTAACAGTTTTTATTTACTTTATTATGTAACTGTCTTTTTTATTTTATTAGGTAACAGTTTTTATTTATTTTATTATGTAACAGATTTTATTTACTTCCCCTATAACATTTTTAGGTTACGTTACGTATTGTAACGTAAACGAGATTCGTTACGTTACGTGCAAAATGTCCGTTATTTTTACGTAACCGAGACGTAAAATTTTACGTAACGATACGTAACATTGTAACGTAACATCGTTCCCGTATTTATATGAGATTAGTTTATTTATTGTTAACATTCTTGACAAGACATACTCTCACAGCCTAAAGAGTTTAGCTGGAAGGGTAAGCCTCATATATAGCGAGGAGTGGACAAACACTGGTAAAATGAAAAAAATAGCAAATAAACTAAAAATAAAACATATTCTAAAATTCTAAAATCACTTAATACTAACCGTAATCTTACCGTTAAACATATTGTTAGAATAATGAGATCTTTATATCTGACAAACTTGACATTATATACACATTTTTGCTTGTGGGGTAATAAAAACACAAGTAGTGTTAAGCTGATTAAATAAAAAAATTTGTAAAAAAAATTGAAGTTAACGTTAATACTATTTCACCGTAACGTGAAAATTTTTAGAAAAAAATTTTAGAATAGCAAATATAATTGTTTTTAGATTTTACATATAAAACTTGTGTGAAATAGAGTTTGCAAACAAAGGGGTCGTTCGCACCTAACAACCCTTTCCCCTCCCCCCTCTCCTCATATACATTTTTTATTTCATATAAAGTTTATTGATGACGTTCAGAAAAATGCCTTTAATTCAAAAGTTTATTATAAGGAAAAAAAATAATAACATAGTAATATAATCTGTGTACATTTTTCATCTAATCACTGTCTTTGGTAAACGAAATATCATCGTTGCAAATATCATCAAAGGCGTTATTGTCAGAATTATCATTCCCAATAGATTCAGGTGCAATATTAGCCTTCTTTGGTGCCCGACTAGGTTGCCTATTAGTCTGGCTTCTGCCTTGACTGCTGCGCGTTTTGCATGCATTGGCATTTGTTTTAATTGATCCCTGAGCGCCTCTGCCACCTTATGGGCGTTAATGCATTTTTGCGATCTTAGCTGCAGAGAATCTATAAAATATAAAAATAATATCTACATCTTTAAAAAAATGGAATTGGTAATTTTTCTGAAATTTTTTTTAGTTACTAATGTCTCAACGAACGCATTGTTGAATACCATATTTCATTAATGATTTACGTTATTTAACAAATTCTTTTTATTAACAGTTGTAAAGTCTTTTTTTTAAAAAAATATACCCACAAGCAATCTAATTCCTTATTTTAAATATTATTACTGTAACCCATGGAAACGACTTGTTACGTATAAAAATAAAAAATTATTTCTCAATTATAACACGTCACAAATATAATTTTTTTTTTACGTTACCTTACGTCTATTTTTTACTTGTAAGAGTGTAACGAATTTAGACGTGACGTAACGTTAAAAAAACTTATGTTTGAGACGTATTTTAGTTACGTCTCAAATCCAGATTTTGTTACGTTACGTAACGTCTCAACTAATTACTCTTTAAAAAGTTTTAAAAAAAAACCAATTAAGACGTAATGTTACGAATTGAGACTTTTTGTTTTTTCGTGACAAAGTAACGAATTGAGACGAAGCTATTTTACAATAAAAATAAAATAAAATAAAAGTATTTAGCTATACGGCAATGATGAACAAACATTTACTGCATTTTCAAGTTTATTTACTTAATAGTTGAATAAAAAGTAGAGAATGTAACCTTGTTACCAATTGTAACCGATTGAGACGTAACGTAACTTTAAAATGTTATAGGGGCTTTATTAGGTAACAGTATTTATTTTATTAGGTAACAGTTTTTATTTATTTTATTAGGTAACAGTTTTTATTTACTTTATTATGTATCAGTTTTTATTTACTTTATTAGGTAACAGTTTTTATTTACTTTATTAGTAACAGTTTTCATTTACTTTATTAGGTAACAGTTTAGGAAAACGAACAAACAAGCATAGTTAAAGTAAGAATAATTTTATTTACTGTTTACATTACAAAACAGGTTTTTAGAGTTATTATGCCATAGCTGATTCCTTCTATTTTATATTTAAATAATTTAACAAATTAACAATTACATTTATATTTTAACCATTCTTTACTATGTTATACTTGAATGTTAATAACCATGGATGCTATAGTTGGATGTTTATGATTAATATTATTGTAATACATTTTTTTTTCACATTTATCTTTTTTTAATTATTTAATGAGAGATTTATATGGCCAAACATTAATTTATATGATCTTACTACAGTTACCATAATAATAGGGGTTACCTTGGACATATTAAAAATTGTTAATACAATAAGCTATGTCATTCATGCATATGAAATTATAAACTAATACATTTTAATATAAAGAAATTATATTTAAGATTTTAATATATTTTTGCTTTTTAAAACAAATTATAAAAAATATAACAAATTATAAAAAATGTATAAATAAATGCATAAAATCTCACAGCTTTTGCATATGCAGCCAAACTTTGTTTTAAAACCTTAGGACATTGACCAGCATAGAAGAATAAACTGAGGTACGCATTTCCAAGAACAACTGAAAATATATAGTTAAACTAGTTTAACTTTTTTATGTTTTATGTTAGTAATAATAAAAAAAAAAATTATTTTAACATACACCATGATCTTCCATCTGTTAAATCCAGAGCAACAGCTTCCTTAGCTGTACTGACACTCTCTTTGACGTGTGAAACACGAGAGCTAAAATCTATTAATTCAAAAAAAAAAAAAAAACTCAAGCTATTATTAAAATTAACATTTAAAAACATTAAAAATTAAAAATTTAACATTGAAAATTAAAAACAAACAAAGATCAAAAATGTTACTATTTCCAAGTTGTCTCTCAAAAAAACCAAAAACAACACATAAAAAATGTTACCATTTTCAAGTTTTCTCTCTGAAAAAAAAAAAAAAAAAAAAACAATCAAAAATGTTACCATTTCCAAGTTGTCTCTGTACCATTGACAGATTTCTTAGTGATACTTTGTTTTTTTTCTATAATAAAAATTATTGATTGAATATTATGTTAAGTAATATTATATTATTAAACATAATTTTGAAGAATGCACTAATAAATAAAACCTAAACAAAACAAGAAAAAACAAAAACTTATCTATAATTTATGTAGACCTGTTGTTCATTTTATGTTAATTAAAGGTTTTAATTTTATTTCCAAAAAAATAATTGAAAACTGATATTTAATTATAAAGTATAATTGAGAATTCAAAGAAAAAAAGATACTAACAATAATGAAGGCGGCATCTATTAAAGATGTTATCGGTTATCACTAAAATAGGTGGCATCTATTAAAGATATTACAAATTTTCACTAAAATAGGCGGCATCTATTAAAGATGTTACCGATTTTCACTAAAATAGGCGGCATTTATTAAAGATGTTACCGGTTTTCACTTAAAATAGGATTGGTATTTTCATAAGTAAATTTACTCTGATAAAACCATAATCATACCTTATTGATAGCACCTTGAAAACAATTTTGTGCCTCCTCAATCTTTTTATCTTTCCAATAGCTTTCACCTAACTCATTCCAAGCCTCAATTAAAGTTGGATCAAGTTTTACGGCTTTAGACAGACTCTCTACTGCTCGCGAATCAAAATAGGGAAGCACATTTAATGCTTTGCCACGCAAACAAAAGAACTTTGCTTTGTTGTCAATCATCACTAAAAAAAAAAAAACCTGCTGAAATAATGAACAATAAAAAACTTCATGAATTTCAATAATTTTTTATTTCTAAAAAAAAATTAAACCTTGAGAACATATTTGCGTAAAAATGTTGAATACAAAATGTATATAACATTTTTACGCAATATATATAACATTTTTACGCAATATATATAACATTTTTATGCAATATATATAACATTTTTAAGCAATATATATAACATTTTTATGCAATATATATAACATTTTTACGCAATATATATAACATTTTTATGCAATATATATAACAATTTTACGCAAATATATATTTGCGTAAAAATGTTGAATAGATACAAAATGTATATAAATTAGGAAAATATTTAAGAAAGAAATTAATAAAAAACATATTAAATTATATATTAAAAATAGTTGTTAATTAAGTTACATAATCAAAAAGAATAAAGATTGAAAAATTATAATCATTAAATAAGAACTTACAAACTAAAGTTTATTTAGAAGTACAAAATACTTATTAACTTTAAAAGTACAAAAAAAAAAAAAAAAAAGTACTGGATATTAGAAGTACAAAAAACGAAATACATAATTTAAAAATTGAAAATGAATTTAAAAAATTTTAATTTTTAAAACTGATAAATGTAAATGTGTAATTATTTTTCTGCTTTAAAAGGGAATTTTAGAAAAAATAGCACATTCAAAGTTTTGCTTAGTAACTTATATCTTTTCTTTGTAACAAAAACACTAGCAGTGGAAATTTTTTGTTTATTTTGCAAACAATCTAGATTTTATTATATCTGTCCCTGCATGCTCTAAAAATTTTTGTCTAGTTTTTTTCGCTGCACTTCAACCCTTTGGAACTCTCTCCCATCTTCAGGTTTTCCTAATTCATATAACCTACAACTTTTCAAGCCTTCTGTCAACTGTTTCTTTGCTCCATAACTCTTTTATTTTTTGTCCTAGTAATTCCCAACTTAATAGTGGTTGCTTGCAGCCTTATTAGAAGTCAATCAGAATAAAAAAAAAAAAAAAAAAATGTTAGACAGATATTGCACTCTTGTATTATTGTTTTACTTGTACTTTTGCAATACCATTTACAACATTAATTTCTTTAATAGTGTCTTTAATTGATAAATCAATTGTTCTTGGAAAGACAATTCACTTTGTTTGGACTTTGTTATTATATTCTAATTAAGCTTCAGGATTGCAAAACCAAAAAAACAAAATTGATGTGGTGTCCACATCAATGTAAATTTCTAAGCAAAGGGAGTACAATCTATTGAGTCTTGCCACAACAATTTTATAAATTTCATTCTTTGATTGTAGATGATTAAAACAGTTAGTAAATTCTTTAGCAACGCAAACAAGTTCTTTGTATCAGTTAAAGATTTAAAAAAAGATGAAGTAAGAGTATCTTTGTTGTCAGAGCATTCTGATGACAAAGATGATCATTACATACAACAGAATTTTTAAAAATTTATACAGAAATACAATACTTTTATATTTTTTGATATTGATTTCTTTTATTTTCTGTAGAAATTCTTGACTTAATTTAGAATTTCCTTTGGAATTTTGAAAAGTCTTCTCAACAAGATCTCTTCTTACATTGTATCAGGTAATATCTTTAGGATTATTGAATTCTTTCTTAACAATCATAGTATAAAAGTTGTCCTTGATAAACAGCACTCTTCTTCATATCCTGTAACTTCAGGGCTCCTTAAGGTTCTATCCTTGGCCCTATACTATTTTTAATTTACATTAATGATCTCCCAGAAGTTCTCATATCTAAGGAAGCACTGTTTGCTGATGATAATACCATTAATGGTGAACTTTAACTCAGATAAAATTTGCAATAACCTAGATCTTCCTATATTTATGAATGGTAATGTACTCGATGAACAATCTACTCTTTATCTTCTAGGATTAATTCTTAATTCCAATCTCTCTTGGAAACCATATTTCAAACCAATTGCAAAAATAGTATCTGCTAAGGTTGCATCTCTTTATCATGCTCGCCAAATCTCAAATCTATCCTTGTATGAAATACTGTTGCCATATCTGGGGCGGATCTTCCAATGATGCCTTTTCTCTTTTAGACAAGGGGCAAAAACTCATTGTAAACATAGTTAGACCTGATCTTGCAGCCATTATGACATCGTCGTAATGTTGTTTCTCTTTCTTTTTTTCTATAAATACTACTGCTCTGAAGAACTAGCATCTGTTGCCATCTACTGAAATTCATTCTTGTATTACTTGTCATAATAAGTCTCATCCTTTTACTGTGACTGTTTTTAAAAACTCCAAAAATTCTTATTTGTCTAGTTTTTTTCCTTGAATATTAGTCCTTTGGAATTCGCTTCCTTCATCTTGCTTTACTGAATCATATCATTTGCAACCTTTTAAGTCGTCTGTCGATCATTATTTTGCTCTATAAAGTTCATCTTTTCTCTACCATTAATGCGTTACTTGACCAGCAGTCTGACATTAAACTGAAATACGAAGCTGCTAGAGCTTGAGTACATACATTGACTGACTAAATAGGAAAATGGTTTGAATTATTTCAGAAATCATTTTTTTCATTATTCTTCATTTTTTCCACTTTTTTTTTTGAAAAAAATTTATGGATTTAGGTGAGCCAAAAATGTCACCATAATTAATTTTATTACAGCAATCAATACAACTTCTACATAAAAGTTTAGAATTGATGAAGGGAAGCACACCAGGCTTTCCTATGCTGACAATGGATATTGCTGCAGTGGAAGCAGCATTTTAAACATGTTTTTTAAAAAAGCGCACAGTGGGTGCATCAACTATATTCTGAGCTAATTTGTTTCATCCTTAAATCCTTAAATTTGTAATAAAAATGTTTAATCAACGATATAGTCTTTGTTGCACATTTTCGCACACTTTCAAGAAGGACAATTTCTGATTTAAGATGTGGAGACCGCATAGCTGGTATATGCATATCTATAATACCTATAGTAGTTGAATATTCATACACAAATATAGTAGCACATTTAAACTGACAATCTTTAGGCAGCTGTGAGGGTTTCATTATATATATTATTGTTTGCATATATATAGTGTATAAACAAGAATTTAACTAAATATATTTAATTTCTATTAAGTTTTTGGAACTATATAACATTTTGTTAACCCTTTAAACTTTATTTCTGCCAAGAGATGTCAAATGGTTTTTTAAATAGCAGCATTTCTATGGCTGCTATCAGAGTTTTTATTGTTTCATAAAAAAGAACTATAGGTAGACCTTGGCAATAAATGCAAATTTCTAAATTTAATGCAGATAAAGCTGATGTAGATGATTGACAACCTTTATTGGTTGGTGAAGAAATAGCACTGTTGGAAGGAATATAAACTGTTGGAAGGAAGATGAAATGTTGGAAGAAAGATGAACTAATTTCTATCATATTAGTCTAGCTATCAACCTCTTTTTTTGATTTAAATTAATCCTTTACATTGAACAAAAGCTTTTAATCAAATATTTTTTTCTCATTGAGGAAAAGTTTATACCTTGGATCCACAGCTGTGGACAAAACATGTACTTCACCAATTTGTACATGACCTTCTAATGGAATATTAATTGTAAGTCAATAGTTTTTGCTCTAGAATCATCTGTAAGGCTTCCAAGAAAATTATGTAATGCCAAAATAAGCAGGGTAGGACTGGCCTGGTGTGCTTCCCTTCATCAATTCTAAACTTTTATGTGGAAGTTACATTGATTACTGTAATAAAATTAAATATGGTGACTTTTTTGGCTCACCTAATTCCATAAATTTTTTTCAAAAAAAAAAAGTGGAAAAAATAAAGAATAATGAAAAAAATGATTTCTGCAATAATTTAAACCCTTATTTGATGTAGTGGTACTCTCTTGCATGGTCAGACTGGCCAGTGAAATTTTTTTGGGGTATGAGGGGGGGATTTCCATCGGGCCCCTGCCATGTCTGAAAGTCCTAGGCCTTACTATAAATCAAAATGCACAAGTAAAATACATAAAAATAGAAATTAATAAAAAGTTTATATGCATCAATTTCGCAATGACAATACAATAAATATAGCTTATTTCTACGAATAAAATATGAATTATCGATACAAATAAATTATTTCTACAAATAAAATATGAAATATTTTACATAATATACAAAGACATTGCAAAGCTTTATATTATTACTTATTAGTGGTAGAATAAACTTGAATAAGAGACTGAAAAATTAATTTATTTAAAAAAAAAAACATTAATTTATGATCTTTCCAACAACCTTACATCTAAAGTAGCTCTTTTTGTTGATGACTCAACTTTATACCCCTGTCTTGACAAAAAGTTCTCTTTTTCGACTGCTTAGAACAGGCAGCCCATCGTGAATCTGATCTTATTTCTGTAATAGATTGGGGCTCACAGTTGCTTGTAAATTTTAACTCCAACAGAACTCAGTTATTTACTGCAAACAATTACCACAATACTGCTGACATTCTTATATTAATGAATGGCAACCCTCTCACTGAGTTCTGTTCTTTACATCTTCTTTGATTATCGTTTACAACTGATCTTTCATGGAAACCATATATACAATCGATTGCTAAATTAGCATCTGCTAAGGTTGCTTCTCTTTATTGTGCTTACCATTTTCTCTTTCTTGATTCCATTCTCTACCTCTACAAATCTCTTATTTGTCCCTGTATGGAAAACTGTTGTCATATTTGGGCTGGTTCTTCTAACGATGCACATTCTCATCTAGACAAGGTCCAAAAAACACATTGTAAACGGAGTTGGATCCACTCTGTCTGCTAAGTTTGAGCCTCTTTCCCATCATCATAAAGTTGCATCTCTATTTCTTTTCTCCAAATAATATCATAGCCGTTGCTCAAAGGAGCTATCATCTCTAGTTCCATCAAATAAAATTCATTCTCGCTTGACTCGTCATTCAGTAAAAGTTTCATTCTTTTCCTATATCTGTCCCTGCATGCTGTTAAAACTTTTATTCATCTAGTTATTTTTCCTGTACCTCAACACTTTGGAACTCTCTCCAATCTTCATGTTTTCTTGACTCATACAACCTTTAACTTTTTTAGTCTTCTCAAATCTTCTGTTCATTTTTCTAGTAACTCTTAACTTAATAGTGGTTACTTGCAGCCTTGTTAGGAGTAAATCATAATAAAAAAAATTAAAAAAAAAAAATATGCGAAAGTTGTGAATGAAGCTAAATTTAACTTATAAATTTATATTATGTTAATCAAGATTATATTATGATATATAGTGTTGTTTTTTTTTGACCACTCAGACAATGTTTGCTTTGGAATGCCATATTTCTTTGATATAGATACAAATGATTCTTCTTTGTCGAGTTCTTTTACTATTATGTATTTCTTTGTTATAGTTCTACTTGTTACTAGAGTTACTTATTAGCTTTTTATAAGCAACCTTTAACATTTTTAGTAAAATTTAATCAAAGATTAACGCAATTGAAGATATCATTGAAATTGTTCAATTTGTTAAATTATATTTGACCCAAAGGTATTTAATTTTCAAACATTATAAGTTTTGAATTTTAATTGATATTTTTGAATTTTAAATATAATAATCATTAATAAATAAAATTTAATCAAAGCTTAACCGAATTGAAGATATCAGTGAAAATGTTTAGCAATGTTTAATTATATTTGATGCAAAAGTATTTTATTTGCGAGCATTCTTAGTTTAGAACTTTTATTGAAGGATAGAAAGTTTTGTTATTCTTAAGTTTTATTTAAGCAAAGTTTTATGCTAAAGAGACCTTAAAAAGTAGTATGAGTTAGCGAATGGTTTAACTTAACCAGGATACGACTAAAGCAGATGATTTTATAGTAAGTTGATGAAGAAAGTTTAAGGGGAATTAATAATCGTCCGACTTTTACACTTGGTCTTTTTAAATGATATATTTGAATTTTAAATAAAATAGTAATTAATAAATAAAATTTAACAGAATTGCGAGCATTCTTAGTTTGGAATTAACAGAATTAACAAAATATAGGAAGAAAAAAAAATTTAATTACAAGACCAAAATAACAGTTTTACAGATATGAAAAAATTCCCAGAATTCCTTTCACATCAACATCACACTTGTATTTACACTTTTTTTAGTAGCTAAGAGTTTCTTCTTGTTATTTGATTAAAAAGTTTGCCAATATTAAAAATTAATATAAATTTGTATTATGTTGAAAAATATTTTTTCATTTATGTTAAAAAAGAAACTAATTTCTATTAAATATATGTTTTTCTAAACAGAACATTGTTATTATTTTGTTAATGCTTCATCTTAGATATTTCTCTAAAAACATAAATCCTATGAGAAAAGCTGCTGTTAGAAAATAACTTTATTTCTATTCAATATTTTGCTTTTTAAAACACCTCTTACTTTATAACTTGTATAAATTTATGTAGCATACATTGTAGTTGATCCAGCTCAAGTAAAACATCCTTAAGTCTTTTTTCAATGTCATCGTTTTTGTTTTTGCTACCAAAATTTGATGCATAATTTTCTTTAAACTCAATCAACTGATTAACTAAATCCTAAATTATAAAACAAATCAAATATATATAAACACTTTTTACAAGTAAATTATTATTTTATTATTGTTATCCAATTACTATTATCATCATTATAATTATTGTTATTAATTTTATTGCTATAATTAATACTAATATTAGTAGTAATATATTATTATTAAATAATATAGATTAATATAATATTAATATTTTTTTATTTTTTTTTAATTATCTTCGCTTCCAACAAGGCTGCAAGCAAACACTTATTACTTTTAGAAGTTATCTTGCTTTTTAATCGTTATCTTGCTCTACAATCTTCATCTTTTCTCTGGAAGAGAAAAGATGAAGATTGTAGTGCAAGATAACGATTGACAGACGACTTAAAGGATTGCAAATTATATGATAATATAACTTATAAAATCTGCTTTAATAAATTTTCTTTACCAAATATTTTTTTATGAGGGTGTTAGGGATCATAAATTTACCAACCTTTTTAATCACCAGAAAATGTGTTAATAAAAATTAAAATTCTGGTTTACCGGTAAATTATAGGTAACCTTTTGAATATTAATACAATTATAGCAATTAAGTACTATTTTAATTAAATAACATTAGAAAAAAAACTTCTTAAGATATTTAAGTAAAATTTAAAGCCTCATCTCCTAATTGAGAATATGTAGCAATATACGCCAAATTAGATTCTTATTAAGAGATGAGACGTTCCAAATAAAAAAAATAGTTTTTACAACATCATTGTGCTTCAAGTTGAAAAAAAGTAAGATCAATCAAGTGAAAACCAATTAATGGATTGTGGAAACTAATAAAATTAAACATTTTTAAAGTAACTGCGTAAAGTTAAAACATTTTTTACGCTTTTACTTTAAAAACATTTTTAAAGTAAAAGCGTAAACTTAATTTACTAGAATCTTTTATTTTGAAAGTATTATTAAAGCCTTGGAAAGTTTATACATAAAAACTCCTGATGAAATTTTTGCAAGGCATCAATTACTTGTAAGACATCAAACATCAGTTGAATCTTTACAAGATTTTCTTCAGGAACTGCATAAACTCGGCAAAAATAGCAATTATAAAGATGTTTTAACTGAACAGTGTTAAAGGAAAAAATCAGACGCTTTTATTTCTGGAATAACTTTAAATTACATTCGCCAACAACTTTAATTCAGCATTGACTTAACAGAATTTAACCAAGCTTGCTTTCTTGACATTGCTCAGAGGAACTCTGAGGCTTATATGCAGTCTTATAAATCCCCCTCATCGCCTACCAATCCTAATATTGTTGCTGCTATGAAATTACCAGAAGAACCTTAAGCACTGCCCAATACTCTTCATCCACAAACAAACTGAATTTATTAACCAACTCAATCAAACTTATGCTAGGAAAAAAAGTCCAGCTCAAAACATTACCTGTTTTAAATGTGGAAAAAAAGGACATTTTACCAAGGTATATATTGGCAAGCCAATGAATATAACCCACAGTGTTTCAGTTGCAATGCCGAAACCAAGCTTGTGTACTATTTCAAGAAGTTATCCTTGGGCCCTTTCTCATGTATCTGTTGCTGTCAGAATTAATGATGAGTCATTAACCACACTAATTGATTCTTGTAGTTCAAATAATTCTATAAGTAAAAAATTATTGATACTTTGAAAATAAAAACATTACCAAGTAAAAGAAAAATTTCTATGATCTTTTAAACAATGGAGATTAGTGATTTGTTGCACAGTTAACCTTGAAGTAAATGGTTTAATGTATAATAAAATACAATTTTGGTGTCCTAAAAAACCTTTGTATTGATGATATTTGGTATGAGATATAAAAATTTGATTTTTTTATTTAGTGTAGAAAAAGAAATCTTAATCACAAGGAAAAACAACATATATGCACTGCAAATGGCAAAAATAAAAATACTATCCTTGTTTATAAGTATTTCAGAAACAACTCAGCTACAAAACAAAGAAGATTTAGTTAAAATGATCAAAACCTTATTGAAAGTGAAATATTACAGTTATTATCAAATGATATAATTGAGCAATACTTCCCCATAGAGAGTCATGAACAGTTAACGTTTACAATTAATTAGACACATATCCTCTTGCCTGAATAGATGATATGATAAATGATCTTACAAAATACAAAGTAATTTCTACTTTTGACTTGATTCAGAAAAAAACCTACTCAGATTTACTACCTCCTCTCTCTGACTTTTTATCACTTACTTAAACATTGGGTATGTTTTCTTATTATTTTAAGTGGATTCTTTTTTTTGCTAATAAAGTTTGACCTTTAATGTTAAATCATTTCCAACAATAGCAAAGGATTTGATGTGTTTCAATTACTTAAACAAGAACTTCATACTGCCACTTTGAGTCCTATCAATGAGAGCTTACCTTTTATTGTTGAATATGATTCATCAAAAGTAGCAGTATCAGCTCTTTTGAATCAATTCTTGAATCAAAAAAGTCGCTCAGTTGCTTTTATGTCTTGAACATTGAACATGATTAAATTAACTTCCCAGCAGTAGAAAAAGAAGCTGTGGCTATTGTTAAAGCTGTTCTATAATGGCAACATTTATTATTACAAGAGCAGTTTCAGTTAATCACTGATAAGCGTTTTGTAACTTTTATGTTAAAAAACACTGAACAGTGCAACCTATGCATAAAAACACTTTTCATGCAACCTATTGTTCCTGATGCACTTACATGTATTTTGTGCAACAACTCAACCTCAAACAAACCTAAGCAATATACACAACTATGTCATCCAGAAGTCAAATCTATATTTCACTTTGTTAAATCTAAAAATTTATCTTTTTCTACAGATGAGGTCAAGAAAGTTTGTTCTAACTGCCATATTTTTTCAGAATTAAAACCAAACCATTATTCAGAATTAAAACCAAAGTTTTATTGATCTGCAAATGTCAATAAGTTAACCAAATCTATACATACAATAAAACATCTTAGTATACAATAAAACATCTCAGTATACAATAAAACATCTCAGTATAGACTTAAAACATCTCAGTATAGACTTAAAAGGACCATTGCCATCTAATTCTAGAAATACTAATTTATGGTTATTGATAAATATTCCTGATATTCATTAGCTACCCCATGTCTATATATCAATTCAACAGTGGTTGTGAAATGTTTATAATAAATATTCTCTTTTTGTGGTTTTTCAACATACATTCATTCTGACCGAGGCTCATCATTTATATCTAATGAATTAAAATCATACCTTAAGCAGAAAGGAATTTCATCAAGTAATTTTAGTTCATATCATCCTATCAGCAAAGGACAAGTTAAGATATATAATGGTTTGATCTGGAGAAATATTTGTTTGGCACTAAAAAATCACAACCTCGATGTTAGAAATCAGAAATTTCTAGTTAACCTTGTTGATAAAGTCAACATATGCTAATACTTGTTACCTGGATGGATGAGAGTAGACTGTTTCATTTCAAGTTCTTACACCATTATCTGCCCCACAAGAAAAGTGTTATATTATCAATGAGATGAATATTAAGGAATCTAACAAAAATGTAACTGCAGAAGTAATTGATGTAAATAACAGAACATCACCTGAAATTAAACCTGAAATAAAAGCTAAAGTAAATAACCTAATAAATAAGCCACCTGACATTCTGCAATGCTCTACTTGAACTTGCAAAGTTCATGTGAAATATAATGACTTTATGTTGTTTTTTTTTTTTTTTTTTTTTTTTTAACATCTTCACTTCCACCAAGGCTGCAAGCAACCACTATAAGAGTTGGAAGTTACTGGAAGAGAAAAGACTAAATCTGTAGAGCAAGATAACGATTGACTGATGACTTAAAAGATTGCAAATTATATGAAACAGGAAAGCAAGATGAAGGAAGCGAATTCCAAAGAACTGATGTTCGAGGAAAAAAACTAGAAGAATAAGAGTTTTTGAAGCACTTAGGAACAGTCACAGAAAAAGGATGAGACTTAATTGAATGGCGAGTAACACGAGAATGAATTTTAGTAGATGGCACAAGGGACGCTAGCTCTTTAGAGCAGTGCCCATTATAGTATTTGTAGAAAAGAGAAAGAGAAGCAACATTACGACGATGTGACAAAGGTTGGAGATTGGCTGCCAGAGCAGGTCCAACTATGTTTACAATTCGTTTTTGCACCTTGTCTAAAAGAGAAAGAGCATCATTAGAAGATCCGCCCCAGATGTGGCAACAGTATTCCATACAGGGACGGATTTGAGATTTATAGAGATAGAGAATAGAATCTGGAGTAAGAAAGTGTCGAGCTCGATAAAGACATGCAACCTTAGCAGATGCTAATTTTGCAATGGATTTGATATACGGTTTAAAAGAAAGATCAGAGGTAAGAGTTAATCCTAGAAGATGAATGGTAGATGAATCATCTAGTACATTACCATTCATAAATATAGGAAGATCTAAATTATTACGATAACGATTGGCCGAATAAAATTGAGTTTTATCTGAATTAAAGTTCACCAGCCACTGTGAGCCCCATGCTGTAGCAGAAGTGAGATCCTTTTCAAGCTCAGATACCCCCTCCAAGCAATCAGAGAGTGTAGGCTTCTTATCATGACAAGAGTAAATGGTAGTATCATCAGCGAATAATGCCACCTTAGATGTGAGAATATCTGGAAGATCGTTAATGTAAATTAAAAAGAGTATAGGGCCAAGGATTGAACCTTGAGGAACCCCTGAAGTTACAGGATGTGAAGAAGAGTGTTGTCCATCGAGGACAACTTTTATACTACGATTGGAAAGAAAGGACTCAATAATCTTAAAGATGTTACCAGCTACACCATAAGAAAAAAGCTTATGGAGAAGACCAGCATGCCAAACTTTATCAAAAGCTTTAGAAATGTCAAGTGCGATAGCCTTAACCTCTCCACCTCTATCTAATGCACGGTAAAACCTATCGGTTATTACTGTTAGCACATCAGCTGTAGAACGAGAAGACCCAAATCCATATTGATGATCAGAAAGTAAGTTAT